TATTTATGGTCTCAAACAGTCTCCTCGGGCTTGGTTTGAGAGGTTCAGGGCTGCTCTTGTCTCCTTTGGTTAACACAAACTCAATTTGATCATACCCTGTTCTTGAAGAGAAATGGCTCTCTGGTGACCTTTTTGATAGTTTATGTTGATGATATTGTGGTCACGGGTAATGACACTCAAGAGGTTAGTAAAGTCAGAAGATTTCTTAAGATCAAGGATTTGGGAGATCTTCGGTATTTTTTGGGCATTGAAGTTGCTAGATCTAAGGATGGTATCTTCATTTTTCAGCATAAATATGTCCTTGACCTCCTTGCTGAGACTGGTAAACTTGGAGCTAAACCAATCTCCACTCTTATTGATCCCAATCATAAGCTTTTTGCTACAGATGGTGACCTTTTATCTGATAAGGGGGTGTTTCAGAGACTGCTTGAGATACTCGGCCGGACATTTCCTATGCAATAAGTGTTATTTGTCAATTTATGCATTCTCTTAGAGATACTCATTTAGTTGCTGCAGAAAGGGTTCTGTGTTACTTGAAAGGTACTCCAGGGAAAGGTATTCTATTTGCCAAACATGGACACATGAAGCTGGAAGCTTTCATTGATTCCGATTGGGTAGGATGTATTGATGATAGGAGATCCACCTCAGGTTATTGTGCTCTGGTCACTTGGAACATTGTGTCATGGAGAAGTAAGAAACAGTTTGTAGTTACTAGATCCTCAGCTAAAGCAGAATACAGGGCAATGGTGCATGGTGTGTCAGAATTACTGTGGCTACAATCCCTTTTAGAAGAATTGGGGGTTGACTATGAGAAGCCAATGATGCTCTACTGTGACAACCAAGCAACTATCAATATTGCACATAATCCTATTCAACATGACCGAACTAAGCACATTGAGGTTGATAGACATTTTATAAGGGAAAGAGTTTCCTCAGGAGAAGTTTGTTTGCCGTTCTTCACATCAGACGAACAATTGGCTGATATCTTGACCAAGGGAGTTCCGAGAGGGAAAATGACACACTATATAAGCAAGCTGGGCATGATTGACATCTATGCTCAGCTTGAGGGGGAGTGTAAAGAGACCGGGCTGAATGGGTCCTAATATCTTTTCTTGTAATATTTTTTTCTATTTTCCTATTAGCTAATGGGCCTCTCTTAATGGGCCTGTTATTTTTTTTTTGTTTGATATCTTTATGTTACTGCCTAGCTGGCCGCCCACTTAAGGGCATACTTGTAATTATTTTAACATTAATTTTTAGTAGAAAGGATTAGAGAAGAAAGGGAAGGATTATTCGAACCTTTCTTCTTCTTCCTCCTCTTTTCTCCATCTTCTTCTCTTGTACTGCTGCTCTTACTTTTCTTCCTCCTTTTTCTCTCTAATTTTTCAAGTTTACACCTATTTTGGAGGACTGGTTTACATCTTTGTTAAATGAAAATGGAGGGACAAATTTGTAATAAAAGCCTCCTTTTTACATTAAAAGGATTCAGAACCTTCAGAGTAATCTCTTAGCACTTTAGCAGAGGTGCTGCTCCATACTCAAAATTCTGCTCCTGTATATCTTTCTCTTACCATCCTGTCAAGGCACCTTTTAGGTTATATTACTTGGATCTTTTTTCCATTTCACAATATAAAATTTGCAAGTTCAAGCAATATAATGCCAAAAATGGTATGGTGATTCACATGATTTGGTGTGACCTAATTGATAGTTCAACATTTTTATGTGTACTGAAGAGAAATCACGGTTCACTCAAGTTTCCTTAACCATTACTTTTTGGTGGCTTCTATTATTATCTCTTTTCATAAAAAAAATTTACCTATCTTTATCAAAAAAAAAAGAAGCACCAAACTCTCATTGGGACTTCTTTCCTTGTTCTTTAACTGATGAGAAACAATGACTTTTACTAAATCTTGCTCCTTTCCCTTTTTCTCCTGTTTCTGTTGCAAAATTCTTTGGTCCCCATGTTTTCTCACTATTTCTTTTCTTGACAGCTATGAAGTTTTACTTACATTGGACAAGGACAAACACAAGAAAGATGGACCCATCTACTATTATGTGTTCAATTCTCTCCTGTTTTGCTTGCTTGTTCTTCATATATATTGGTGGGTGTTGATATATCGGATGCTTGTAAAACAAATCCAAGCCAGAGGCCAGATTAGTGAAGACGTTCGATCTGGTATGTAGAACAAACTAGGTGAAGGTTTTGCATGCATACACAAATATGCACATATTATTGATATATATATTTTGCAGATGATTTGAAACGAGTTTGTCTAATTGAGTTAGAACACTATGTAGTTTCTTGTGATGATTGAGAGAGAGAGAGAGAAAGAGAGAGAGAGAGGTACGGATGATAGAAAGGAAAGGCCAAAAACTTTGTACTGGCACCCGCCAGTTTTCTATTTATATTAATCTTTATAAAAAGGCAAAATTACAAGTATGCCCCTGGCGGCATATCCTAGAATAAGAACAATAGGAAAAGAAAAAAAGAAAGGACTAGTAAAGTAATTGAAACTGTCCCACTAACATCAATTACAATGAACACTCAAGCCTTACAACACTCCCCCTCAAGTTGAGCTGAAGATG